ATAAAAAAGGTCTCCCAACCATTAGGAGCCAAGTGTCAACACAAGCCTTTCGTAAAAAATTTCAAAAAAGACCTCCAGCATTTGTGCCCCACATGCCAACAGACGTCTGTTAAAAAAAATTTCAAAACTGAGTATTGCCGGTCGGCTATACTAGTGTTTAATATAAAAAAGACTCCAACCATTATGTGCCATGTGTCAACACATGTCTTTTTTAACAAAATTACAAATAATGGAGTATAGCTGTGCGGCCGTGCTCCTTTTTTAAAAAAAATAAAGGAAAAACCTCTATCGTTGAGAGCCACGTGTCGAAAATAGGTATTGCCGACTCGTTATACTATTTTTTCTATAAAAAGGACCCTCCTAGTTGCATTGGTTTGTACCATATGGATATTAATTTGCAACATATCCAAAGTATATATTAATCTTCCACTATTTGATATTTTAATATAATTTGTATACCATATGTTATTCTTATTCAATAATATGTGAGAATTATTTGTACAATACATGAATTTGTGTGTGGTACTGAAAGTTTTGTAAAAAGTACATGTATAAAATATTAGAAATACATACGTGCATGTACAATACGACTATTGTATGTTTGCTTTTTAATGAAAACGTGAGATGTGTATAGAACACGAATGTATGGTTGAAAAATACGTACATACATATGTGTGTGTGTGTATATATATATATATATGAATACGCCTGTGAAAGACAATAGCTGCTGGTTCAATTAAAAAAAAAAAAAAAAAAAAAAAAAAAAAAAAACAAAAAAAAAAACGACACTCGCCTATACTATATTTTTAAATTTTTTTTATTTTTTAAACTGAGTATAGCCGTGCGGCTATACTATTTTTAACATAAAAAAGTTCTCCCAACCATTAGGTGCCACGTGTCAACACATGTCTTTCTTAAAAAAATTCAAAACTGCGTATAGCCATGCGCTATACTAATTTTAAATATAAAAAAGGTCCCCAACCATTAGACGCCACGTGCAACACAAGCCTTTCTTAAAAAAATTTCAAAACTGAGTATAGCCGTGCGGCTATAGTATTTTTAAATATAGCAAAAGATCTCCAGCCATTATGCCCCACGTGGCAACAAATGCATTTTTTTTTTAAATTTCAAAACTGAGTATAACCGTGCGGCTATACGAGTTTTTAATATAAAAAAGACTCCAACCATTACGCGCCGCGTGTCAACACATGTCTTTTTAAAAACAAATTAGAAAACATCGAGTATAGCCATGCGGCCGTGCTCCTTTTTTGAAAAAAAATAAAATAAAAACCTCTATCGTTGGTATTTTAATATAATTTTTATACCATACGTTATTCTTCTTCAATAATATGTGAGAATTATTTGTACAATACATGAATTTGTGTTTGTTACTGAAACTTTAGTAAAAAGTACGTGTATAAAACATTAGAAATACGTACGTGCAAGCACAATACGACTATTGTATGTTTGCTTTTCAAAGAAAACGTGAGATGTGTATAGAACACGAATGTATGGTTGAAAAATACGTACCTACGTATGTGTGTGTGTCTCTCTCTATATATATATGTATGAATGCACATGTCAAAGACTATAGCTGCTGGTTTATACTATTTTTTAAATTCAATGTAAAAAAGAAAAAAAGAAAAAAAACGCAAAACGACTCCCGCCTATTCTATATATTTTTATTTTAAAACAAAAAAACTGAGTATAGCCGTGCGGCTATTCTATTTTTTAATATAAAAAAGGTCCCGAACCATTAGGCGCCACGTGTCAACACAAGCCTAACCCTAAAAATTCAAAACTGAGTATAGCCGTGCGGCTATACGATTTTTAAATATAAAAAAAAGACCTCCAGCCATTATGCCCCACGTGGCAACAAATGTCCTTTTAAAAAAAATTTCAAAATTGAGTATAGCCGACGGCTATACTAGTTTTTGATATAAAAAAGACTTCAACCATTACGCGTAGCGTGTCAACACATGTATTTTTTTTTAAATTTAGAAAACATGGAGTATAGCCTTGCAGCAGTGCTCCTTTATTGAAAAAAAATAAAAGAAAAACCTTTATCGTTGATATTTAATATAATTTTTATACCATATGTTATTCTTATTCAATAATATGTGAGAATTATTTGTACAATACATGAATTTGAGTGTGTTACTGAAAATTTTGTAAAAAGTACGTCTATAAAACATTAGAAATACATACGTGTGCATGTACAATATGACTATTGTGTGTTGGCTTTTTAGCGAAAATGTGAGATGTGTATAGAACACGAATGTATGGTTGAAAAATACGTACCTACATATATATGTGTGTGTATATATATATATATATGAATACGCCTGTGAAAGACTATAGCCGCTGGTTTATACTATTGTATGGGCCTTTTTGTTCCAGCAGCCTGACAAATGGGCTTGAGCTGCCGTAAGAAGAACACGCACAGAAGTTCCCCCAAGTGTCCGAGTTCTAGAACCAAGCTCCTGAAGGAGTTTTTGAAAGATTTGATAAACCTTAGAAGAACACCCTCAGGTTCTCTTCACTAATTGCCAAATAAGCATGATAAAATCAATTAATGGCTTAGCTTGAGGAGCTTGTGGCATGGGAGCTAAGCTTTCACAAGTTTAGCAATTTGAGAGAGAAAGAAGCACGAATTTCCTACTGGGAGTGAAAATCTGAAGTAAGACAGAGAAGAACTAGAACGATTTCTACCCTAAAGGAAGAATATAAAACAAAACGAAGAAGAAAGATTGGGTGGCTTGAGTAAATTCCAGGTTGCTTGACAAAGCTTGGTCAGGCTCTAGATGATTGTGTTTCTAGGTAACAGAAGCCCTCTTTTATAGGCACAGGGAACCCTAATTTCATATGGTCTTCCCTTTCTTTTCCTTTGACAACTCCCTACTTAATCCTATTTTGGTGAAATTCTCCTATCAAGGTGCATGGGTAAGGAACCCTTTGTGGTTCCAAGGATTTTGATGCAGCTGGACCTCCCCATAAGGGTGAGGCGCCACTTGCTTTTTCTTAACGTTTTCAAAATAGAGCTTGTAGTAGAAAAGGAGATGGGTAGAGCCTTTTGTCCAACGGGTGTTCGTCCTTCACACATGGATTCCCGCTGGTTTTATCATAGCTCCTTGTTTGACCGTTTTGGAGTCCTAACAAGGATGGAGCACGCTGGCAGGTTTTTATAAGGCTTTGGGCTGAGTTTGCACGCATGGTATTAGGTTGTTGGTCTGATCATGCGAGGGTTTTCGTCAGACTGCTGGAAAGGCTTTGTTAATCTTGGGCATTCTATTGATGTGCGTTGGGCTAAGTATTATGGTAGGCCACTGGATATCTTTTTAAAGCATGGGACTATTTTTTTCTTCTCTCTCATGCTAACCCACATGCTTGGGTGCTAGGAACGGGCTTGAGTTTTAATGCCCCCCAAGTTCCTCGAACCCTCAATGGGCCTTGTGATTGGTTGTTCCCCTCCATGCCACAATCTTCTCAGTAAGCCCTGGTTTAATTTTGTGGCTTGGGTCCACTTAAGCTTGTGACATAGCTTGGTGCTAGAATTATGGCTCTTTTCACATGATGCCTATGCTTGTGCTTGAGTTTTATTATACCGAAGAGATATGTGAGGGTGGTCTTATAATGTTGGCATACACTTGGCCCCTTTGTATGTGTTTGCTTGGCATAACACCTGGCTGGTAACATGTATTAGCGGGTCCCACAAATTCTCCTTTGTTTCGATTAAGCCCTTTTTTGTACCCTCTTCTCTGTGTTGGGCCAGGAATTAATTTGGGCTTAGCCCCTTAGATTTTTGGGCCTCAACAATTATTTATTTGATTCAATATAAATAAATAAATAAATAAATAAAACAATAAAACCAAAAGCGACTCTAGCCTATACTGTATTTTTTTTTTTAAAAAAAAACTGAGTATAGCCATTCGGCTATACTATTTTTAAACATAAAAAAGGTCTCCCAACCATTAGGACCCACGTATCAACACATGTCTTTGTAAAAAAAATTTCAAAACCAAGTATAGCCGTGTGGCTGTACTAATTTTTAATATAAAAAAGGTCCCGAACCATTAGGCGCCACGTGTCAACACAAGGCTTTCTTAAAAAAATTTCAAAACTGAGTCTAGCTGGGCGGCTATTTTTAAATATATAAAAAAGACCTCCAGCCCTTATGCCCCACGTGGCAACACGTCTTTTTAAAAAAAAATTCAAAACTGAGTATAGCGGTGCGGCTATACTAATTTTTAATATAAAAAAGACTCCAACCATTACGCGCCGCTTGTCAACACATGTCTCTTTTAAAAAAAAAATTAGAAAACATGGAGTATAGCCATGCGGCCGTGCTCAGTTTTTGAAAAAAAATCAAAGAAAAACCTCTGTCGTTGATATTTTAATATAATTTTTATACCATATGTTATTCTTATTTAATAATATGTGATAATATTTGTACAATACATGAATTTGTGTGTGTTACTGAAAATTTTGTAAAAAGTACGTCTATAAAACATTAGAAATACATACGTGCATGTACAATACGACTATTGTATGTTTGCTTTTTAATGAAAACGTGAGATGTGTATAGAACACGAATGTATGGTTGAAAAATACGTACCTACATATGTGTGTGTATATATATATACAATAACATAATGATATGAATTTAAAATACTCAAAATATATTGATAGCTTGAAAATAAGCTTATGAGAATGTTGGCACGGGAAGAGAGACTGTAGTTTTAACTCAGGGAATCTACTTTTTCCAATTCAACTTTCAATTTTGTCTTCTTTAACTCATCTTATTTAAACTCATGCTTTTACTGGCCACCTTTTGCTTTTACTCAGGGGAATCTCATAATGAAGGATTTGCTTTAGTCTGAATTCAGGTCATAGGCTGGGTAGTCTTCATTGGGGTCTTGACCATGAGGATAGTCAGACCATCTTAAAGGGCAATCAAGACTTTTTTGACTAGAGGAGAGACGGTGACAGCTGGAGGACGACTAAGACTCATTGTCCTCATCATCATTCATTTGAGCGGCTTGGAGCATCAGTTGTCGTGCAATATCTTGGAGCTCAGCTTTATACTTTCCTTCGACGAAGAGGGAGGTCTGAGAAGATTGAGAAGATGAGGACTTCTGCTTAGGCAACTGAGGTGCAGGTGCTTGAGGAAAATCTCTGTAAACATATTCAGCAATTTGGGGAACCTCAAGCGATCCCACCACTTAACAGAAAATTGGCGGGAGAAGGTTATTGTCTCCCAATTAACTGCATAATGTCACTTTAATATCCAGGGAATTTTATAACGGGCAATAAAATGTTGGGAACTTGGAAAAAATAAATCACGCTCAGAGAACTTATATTTTTTAGCAAAATAGGTGATTAACTCAGTAACTTGATACGGTAATATTTCAGATTTAGGACCATGGGTATCCCACCAATGGAGGAACCAATAGGAAAATTCACTATGAAATTTACTATCAAAGTTTATGAACCAAGAATGGGAAAAATCAGTTGTTTGGTGCAGAAAAATATAGTACCAAGACTCAATGTAATCAGTATAATTATATTGAAATTTGGATGGAAGGGTGCGTAACTCATAGGGATGTGCTCCCTAACTTTTTTGGCTTAGGATTTGAAGAATGTAAAGGGAATGATAAAGGATTTTTTGAGGATCTTGTTTATCACGGATAGGCTTAATGTCAACTGATTGGGTCTCATGGAGGATTTCTCTGTAAAATTTTAGGGACTTATAAGGACTTTGTGGCAGGAAATGAAAACCACTGGGGAAATGCTCTTTGGCAATCATGGCAGGACTCATTATTTCAGGAATATGAGGCTCAATGATAAAAAGATTAGAACTCCTCTTATGAACATAAGGGGAAGACTTAGGGTAAGAAGAGATGGGAGTAGCAGTTGAGGAAAGCTGAAAGGGATCATAACTGGAAACTAAAGCAGACTGATAATTTGGACGAAATTGGCCAGTTGTGGTACCTAAAGGACTATAACGATTAACAACTGGGATTGGAGAAAAACTAGGATAAGGAACAATTGAAGAGGGTGACTCAGGCTTAGGGAGAGAAGAGCAACTAGACTCGGTTTTGACTGTCTTTTGACTCATTGATGCAGGGAGGATTCTGGGCAACTGGGAAGGTTGGTTTTGATTCTCTTTTTGTTTATCTTTTTGCTGGCCATTGCTTATCCTGCAAAAATTCTCTAGTAAGAAAATCAGGAACAAAATTCTCACTTCCTCTCAAGTATTCAATTTCAAAATAAAAAATGCTTAAAATGGCTTGCCAACGTGCAAAAATTTGCTTTGGTGCAATATTTTGAACATCTTTTTCTAATACATGCTTAGCAGATTTACAATCAACTCTAACTAAAAAAATTTGATTTAATAAATCATCTTGGAATTTAGTAATACATAATACAATAGCTAGTATTTCTTTTTTGATAGTACTATAATTAGATTGTGACTGGGTCCAAATACCGGAATAGAAGTGAACAATTTGCTCAGAAGGGGTAGAAGTAGTTTTTTGCTTAAGAATCCCACCATATCCTACCTCAGAAGCATCTGTTTCAACTATTTTAAAGGAATTTGTTGTAGGAATGCCAAGACAAGGAAGTATCTTAACATGACTCTTGATTTGTTTGACAATCTCAGTATGAATGGATGACCAAGGCGGATGATTACTCTGTAATCTGTCAAACAAAGTCTTACATAGTTTTCTCATATTTTGATAGAAGTCAGAAACATAATTAAGAGAACCTAAAAATCTCTGCAACTGATTTTTGTCAATTATTTGATCAAGAAACTTATCTGCAGATTGGATAACTCTATCGATTGGACGGATCTGCGATTGATTAATATTAAAGCCAAGGAATCTAACATTGGTTTGGAATAACTTAATCTTAGGGGCAGAGACAACTAATCCATTTGACTTGACTATTGGAAAAATTTATACAGGTGCTTCCAATGTTGTTCTATAGAACATCATCAATATAAACAATAGAGAAATTACTATAAGGATTAAAAATCTCATTCATTATATTTTGAAACTCACTAGGCGCATTTTTAAGGCCAAAAGGCATAACATTCCATTCATAATGACCAAAGGGAGTGACAAAAGCAGTCTTGTATCTATCAGACTAAGTGATTTGGATTTGCCAGAATCCACTCTTCATATCAAATTTGGAAAAAATAACAGCTTTGCTTAAGCGATTAATTAAATCTCTCTTATTAGGAATAGGGTATCTAATCCATTCTAGCACAGCATTAAGTGGTTTATAATTAATGACTAATCTTGGAGATCCTCGTTTTAATTCAGCATTATTTTGGACATAAAAAGCAGGACACGACCATGGTGACTTGCTTTTTCTAATTATATTTTTTGTAATAACTCATTAATCTCAGTTTTGCAAAATTCCATCATTTCTTGACTCATCTGGATTGGTCTAGCTTTAGTAGGGATATTTTTCTCAGAAAAACTCTTAACATAAGGCAAACTCACAACATGATTTTTTCTATGCCAAAAAGCAGTGGTAGATCTGAACATATTTCGGATACTAATTTTTTCTCAAATTCTAAGACCTGTTGTTGGAAAGACGGGCTACTTAGTTGAGACTCAATTCTCTTAGTTTTTACTTCTTCTTGAAGGTGGCAGACTTGGCTACTTTTGTCTTTTATTAAAGTAATTGTTTTGGAAATATCATTTTTTTGTAAAGATTTTAGCCTATGTAACTCGAGTTTGGTTAAAAAATCAAATTTAACTTTCTAAACTAAATGACTTGATACCACACCATCAAATTCAACTTGAAAAGGGTAAAGAAGGCTTATGAAAGGTAAGCCTAAAATGACTTTATCAGTTATATTTTTAATTAAAACAAAAGAAGTTTTAAAACAAATTTTATTCTGGCAGACATGGGCTTTTGGGATCTCATAGCTTAATTGAAGTAACTTTCCTGAAGTGGTGCTTAAGGATTCTCTAGATTTCTTATAATACTTAGTAGGAATTAAACCTTCTTTTATACAATTAAGATCAACTCTTGAATCAAATAAGGCAATCGTGTTGAATTCAAAATTTTTAACAACTATAGTAATTTTAGAATACCATTTCCTAAAATGGACTTTTTGATTAAATTAATAGTTTGTTCTTCCTATAAAGCTTTCTCATAATTGGAGGGACTGCCAGGTTGACTATTAGACTCAGAAGTTTCTTTGTCTAGAAGGGAATTTAATCTTGCTTAATCTCATAATTCTCAGTTTGTAACTTGTGACTTAATTGTTTTAACTCGATATTTCTTTTTTGATATTTTTACTTCAGAATGTAGATCTTGTAAATAAACTTCTTTTTTCTTATGAAATCTTTCTAGAGTAGTATTAAGACTTATTGTTGGAGGACTCGGATGACTCGTATTAGTTTCTTGAGTGATGATCTTTCTAAGTTTCTTTAAATACTCAGATTTTAATTCAGGATTTTCTATCTTGCTAATCAAATCTATTAATAATTCTTCCTGTTCTTTTGCTTAATTAAAACAGAAATAGATTTTAAAGTATTGCAACATTTATCTCTACATCCTAATTGGATTCTAGGCGAACTTAATTGGGAATTTGACGACTCATAGTTAGTTGACTCAGGGTCATTAACCGAAGTTTCAATTTCACTAGACTCAAAATTGCGTATCTCAAGAACTTTAATTAAATTGGCTTTTTCTCATCTGTTGTTTTTAATTGTCGGATAGCATCTTTTACTTTACACTTATTAGCATAGTGACTGAACTTTTGGCATTTATAGCATCTTACTTTTCTTTTATCAGTACTTTTCTTAAAGTGATTATTATCTTTTGGCATTTTTGACCAATTTTTCCTAAGGTGAAACTTTCTTTTCTTATAGAATTCATTATGCTCATTATTATGTTGGAAGGATTGTCTTTTTCTATCATAATGTCTTTTCTTACGGATTTGACTAGGGAAATTGGGCTTGTTTTTCCTGGAAGGAGGGATAGCAATAAACCATATTGTTCACAGAAATTACCTAACTCATATTTAGCATATTTTCTTTCAGATTGAATTTGTCTACTACTTTTCATATCGATACACATTTTCATACCTTCTTGATTAATTGTACTAATTATATTGCCATAAGTTAAATTATCATAATCTATATGTCCTAACTCATTACTTAAGACTGTTCAAATTTTATGGGGGAATAAATTTGGTAATCCATTAATAAATTTTTCTTTCCAAAAAACTTGATTACTATCTTCTCGTAGCATTACTCGGGAAATAAAAATATCTTTATATCATCTAAAATCACTTAATTGAGGACACCTTAAATTACTCAGTTGATCATGTATTCTACCTTGGGTATGACTTGGTGTTCCTATGAAATGCTCAACTATTGTGTAAAGGAGGGTATTGACTCCGTCTTCTACACTGCGACCTATATTCTCATCAAATATGGGGAGACCTTCTTCATTAAGTTTGATAGCATGTATTATATTTCTTCTGGACTCATCAGTTAAGTGTTTATCCCACCAAGAACGTAAGATTCCAGTAAAACCAATTTCTAATAAAGGAACTATCTCAGATTGGCGAAGGTTATGATTAGTGATATAACTATTGGCTACCATAGACATATGAGTTAATTTGTTCATTATTTCTTGCTCAGACAAACCGTCTATATTCCACTCATACAACTTATCAGAAGAAACAGAAAACTAACTCAAATTATTCCTTTCTTTGAACTGGATATCAGGTGGTGTAGGCTTAGGATACCATTTTTTAGTTAAGCTAGTAGGGTTAACTCTATTGGTTAATCTTTTTAACTCAGATTCTAATTCTAGATTCTTGAACGCATTTTCAATTTTTGAAATATTACTAGACTCAATGGTTTCCATACTTTCATCTGAATCAGTACCTGACTGGACAACTAAGGCTGAGGAAGATCCTAAGACTTTAAGACCAGTGAAAGACTATAACCGCTGGTTTATACTATTCAATTAAATTAAAAAAAAAAAAAAAAAAAAAAAAAAAAAGAAAAAGAAAAGAAAAAACCAAAAACGACACGCGCCTATACTATATTATTATTTTTCAAACGGAGTATAGCCGTGCGGCTATACTATTTTTGAACAAAAAAAAGTCTCCAACCATTAGGAGCCACGTGTCAACACATGTCTTTCTTAAAAAATTTCAAAACTCGTATAGACGTGCGGCTATACTAATTTTTAATATAAAAAAGGTCCCGAACCAGTAGGCGCACGTGCCAACACAAGCCTTAAAAAATTTCAAAACTGTGTATAGCCGGTCGGCTATACTATTTTTAATATAGAAAAGGCCCTCCACCCATTATGTCACATGTGGCAACACAGGTCTTTTTAAAAAAATTTCAAAACTGAGGATCGCCGTGCGGCTATACTAGTTTTTAAATATAAAAAGACTCCAACCATTGCACGCCGGGTGTCAACATGTCTTTTTAAAAAAAATTAGAAAACATGGAGTATAGCCGTGCCGGCTCGTGCTTTGTTAAAAAAAAAAAAAAAAAAAAAAACAAACCCTCTATCGTGATATTTTAATATAATTTTATACCATATGTTATTCTTATTCAATAATATGTGAGAATTATTTGTACGATACATGAATTTGTGTGTGTGACTGAAAATTGTATATGTGTCTGTGTATATATATATATATATATAATCATTATATATAATATATATATCATTATATATAAATATATGAATACGCCTGTGAAATACTATAGCCACTCGTTTATACTATTTATTAAATTCAATTTAAAAAAAAAGAAAAAAAAACTAAAAATGACTCCCGCCTATACCCTATTTTTTATTTATTTTTTTAAAAATTGATTATAGCCGTGCGGCTATACTATTTTGTAAAATTCTACTTGTATTCAGGAATTGTGCTGGCTACAAACATAGCAGAGAGTAGTATCACCATAGATGATGTTGTGTATGTCATAGACTGTGGAAGGGCAAAGGAAACCGGTTATTATGCTTTAAACAAGTTGGCTTGTCTATTACCATCATGGATTTCAAAGGCTTCACCTGTATGCCAACTCAACCAAGCTGGATCCATTTATGGTTTGTCAAATAAACATTTTATTAAATTTATTGCTTTGGTGATGATTCCAGAGGCAAGGGCGTGCTGGCCGTGTGCAGCCTGGAGTTTGTTACAGACTATATCCAAAAATGATCCATGATGCAATGCTGCAATATCAGTTACCTGAAATTCTCCAAACACCTTTGCAAGAGCTATGCCTCCACATCAAAAGTTTGCAGCTTGGAGCTGTTGGGTGTTTTTTGGCTAAGGCATATCAGCCACCAGATCCTCTTGCTGTTCAAAATGCAATCGAACTTCTCAAAAACCATTGGAGCTTTAGGTGACATAGAGGAGCTTACTCCGCTTGGCATGTATCAGTTATGCAAGTCAATATCAGCTCTGGTAGTTGACTCAAAAATCTTACATGACAGTTCGCCATCTTACACACTACCATTGGCTCCAAACATTGGGAAGATGCTTCTAATGGGTTCTATCTTTCAATGCCTGAATCCTGCCTTAACAATTGCAGCTGCCCTTGCTCATCGTGACCTTTTCGTCCTACCAATAAATAGGGAAGAGGATGCTGATGCTGCAAACGATACTCGGTTTTATAATGTTTAAAAAAAAGAAAAAAAATGCACAGCCGCTCCGCTATACTATGGTTTTTGTAAACAAACAAAGTATAGCAGCGCGGGTATACGCTTTTTTAAATAGTATAGCCGCGCGGCTGTATAGCTGTGCGGTATTACTCATTTTAAAATGTAAGAGTAGAGCCGGACGGCTATACGGTTTCGGGTCCTTTTTTTAATTATGAATAGTATAGCCGGCCGGCTATACTCGGGTTTTTAATTTTTTTTAAAATCGATCGGCTATACGACGGTTTTTTGAAAAAACCTACACATTGGGCTAGTTTCTTTTTGTTTATTTGTCGTTTTGGGCTTTTGCCCCCAATCTCACCAAAAATTAAAAGAATTAAAATAAACTATTCAAGATCTCCAACTCCTAATTCAAATAGTTTTACCAAAAAATACCGCAATACAAAACGCGAAAAAGTCATAAAACCCCTTCCCTTTCCTCCCTATTTTCTGTTTAATTCATTTTCTTTTTTGGTCAGACCTATTTTCTCTCTCTCTGTCAGCTTGGTGACACTGTGACAAGCCTGAAAAACCCCCCTTCTTTTTGCAAAGAAAGAAACTTGAAAAACCCCTTAAAGCGTTTACCTTAGTTTCAGAGAACCTCATAAACCCTAGAATTCAAATCGACGAGACTGAAGTCCATGTTTTCTTGGCGACGCCGATTTTAGCACCAGAAATTCACAGAATGGGCCGGCCCGAGCCTTGTGTATTGTTCGCCCAAACCTTCGTTCACCCCCATCTCGACGAATACGTCGACGAGGTTACTCTCTCACAAATTTTCAACTTTCAGTTGCTTTTGCGGTTAATTTAATGCCTGTGTTCTAATTAATTTACGAATTTTGATTTATTAGTAAATCTTACTTTGTATGAATTGCTAAATTTATAGTTGAATGTTACTCATTCGAAGTGGATTTTCTTTGCTAGGTATTGTTTGCTGAGCCCATCGTCATCACTGCTTGCGAGTTTCTTGAACAGAACGTGTCGTTTGCTTCTCAAGCAGTAACACTTCTTGGGTAAGTGGCATTACTAATTTTGCAATTGTTTCAGCTTTCCTTTACTTTTGTTTGTGAATTTTAGAATATTATAATAAAGATCATGTAGCTTAGGCCTGAACATCACCATGCAGGCCATTATATTCGGCATTCACTTAAGCCTGATATAAATATCACATCTTTAGCTCCATCTGGTTAGTTTCCTTTAGGAGTGGTAAATACCACAGCCGAGTCAGTTGGTGAATTATTCTTGAGGCTTCTATCCGATTTTTAGTTAAAGACAAAATTGGCACAATTCTAATCAATACGTGGCATGGTGGTTATTTATGTTTTACACTGTTAATCTACATAGTGCATTCTGTATCCTGGTCTTTGGTATCACTTACAGTTGTTTTTGAGGGTTTGTGTTTTATGTGAAGTGGTGAAGTTTTCATAGATAAGTGTCATGTCGGTTAAAAGGTAGAAATTCCACAAGGCTTACATTAGTGCAGTTACAATTACACTTTATTTTATCAGGTCATGTTAAAACTTCCAAATCGTATTTCAATTGGTTAGTTGACGAACTGTGTTTACCCCTTTTCAACCCAACCAAAATGATTTGGAACACTACAATACGGAGTGCGGTACAACTACAAGTGCTAGTTTGAAAAATCACTCATGGGAGAGTCAACACTTATGGTAATGTTGACTGCAGGATACCTAATATATGTCTTTCACTCTCATGGTGTATTATGTGCAAACTAGGAGCAGAGGATTTTGGCCATTTATTTCGCCATTGCTTGTTTGCATTTAGATTGTGGCACAGTGTCTTTCATGAGGGAAGATGAGTTGGGTCATTATTTTGGGGAAGTTTTGTGTATTGACAACTTTTTGGGTGGTTTGGCTTGAAAGGGATGCTAGAATTTTTGAAGAAAAGATGGATTAAGGAGTGTTGGCATTGGGCAATAGATCATAGAGTGAGGGTTTTGTTGATAAATTTATTGAGCTGCTCCCACGCACACAGACCAAAAGATCTTTGTTGTCCTGGACTTTACAAGTATGTAGAGGCCTTTGGGGGACTGGGGAGGGAGTCTCAATTTCTCAATCAATCATTGGAATGTGTTTTTTGTGTTAGTTACAAGTTGTATGAAAAATAGAATGAAACTGGTGGTTTAAAGATCACTTAGTTTAGATGGTGGACTTCTTGTCCAGTGCTGGATATTATATTTGTAATCTTTCTGACTTTTAAAAATAAAATTTCTCTTGGTATTAATTATACTGGGGCTTTTACCACTCGAAATGCTAAATTGGATTTGAACTCTTGGTATTAATTTTGTTTGCTTTTAATGTCAGATGATGCATGATAGATGTTGCATTGGTATTGATTTTCTGAAGTGCTATTGTTGTTTGCAGGGCGACTTCACCTCCTTCATTTGCTTTGGAGGTATTTGTTCAATGTGAGGGGGAGACAAAGTTCAGGCGCCTCTGTCAGCCATTCCTCTATTCTCCTTCTTCATCAAATGTGCTAGAAGTAGAGGTAATTATCATATTACACCTGATTATGTTTCCTCTTGGATTCTGCATATTTTTGCTCCTTAACAATTTTAAGGTGAACACTTTAATGCACTTACATCTAGACTATTTTAGAGCTCAAGTGAGGAGCTATCTGAGAAAGCCCTATCTATGTTTAGATGTCAGTGCCCAGTAATACCTTGTCTTATCTCATTTCTTAATTTCCTTTCCAATTTTTATATATAACATACTTCTTTGTGGAGGATAAGTTTCTACACTTGCGTTATACTAAAATAGCAGAATTTAGCAAGTTAGGAATAGGTGAGCCTAGTTGTTAATGTTGATGGACTGCTTCCTTATCTAATGCTATAGTTCTATATATATATATATACTATATATGTACATAGACACACACCGTTTATTTGTTCTGTTGGCTATTCTCACAGGAGTCATTATTTGTCTGCAGGCTGTTGTAACTAATCATCTGGTTGTAAGGGGCAGCTACCGCAGTCTGAGTTTAGTAATATATGGAAACACAGCAGAAGATCTGGGGCAATTCAACATTGAATTTGATGATAGCTCTATAACTAATCTTGTTAGCTCGGCTGTGGGAAAGCTTGAAGACCTCCCTCTGGCTTTACATTCAACTAATCTGACAATTGAGGATTCCATCTCAGCTTTGAGTACTCTATCTCTACCTGTTGCGGCATCAGATATATCTGTTGAAGCTAATCAATTATTACAACTGATGTTGAAGGTTTGTGAGTTGCCCGATCTAGGGGATGCATTGCATAAAATTGTCAGCACTGTAGTATCAGCTGCCACTTCTCATGTCACCTGCTCTTGGGGAAGATCCAGTGATTGTGAAGAGTTGAACAATGTTCTTAGTGAGGCAAGAACAGAGCTTATTGAGCTCTATAAAGTGTATAAACAAGAATCGGGGAATGCATTAGGTGAATCATTGGCAGACAGTGGACATTTTGAGTCTGAGGCTGATTTAGTAAATTCCAAACAGTTGGTGGATGTGTTAAGTCAGTACTTTTGTTTTAATAGGGACTTCGTAAGTGATGGACATCACCAACTTCCACAGGTGATTAAATTACAATTTCCATCACTTGTATACTATTTCACAGATTGAAAATGCAACAGATAGAAACAAAGACATGTGCTCTGTCTCTGTCTCTATCTCTCTATCTCTCCCTTCCTCCCTCCTCCTGTCTTCCTGTATATGTATTGAATGTGATTCATTTCTAATATTGTATCTTGAATTTCAGAATATAAATGTCATGCTGGGGTTGAGTGTTGCTCTTCTTTTGTGCTCTGGAAGAGAGAGCTGCTTTCACTTTGTGAGTGGTGGGGGAATGGAGCAGCTTGTACGTGTTTTTTGTCGTGATGAGCAGATTTCTACTGCTACTACATTGCTGCTACTTGGAGTTGTTGAGAAGGCTACTCAACATTCTTTCGGGTGTGAAGGATTTTTAGGTTGGTGGCCACGTGAAGATGAAAACAAGCTCTCTGGTGTCAGTGATGGTTATAGTAAATTGTTGAATCTGTTATTGCAAAAACAGCGTCATGATGTTGCTTCTTGTGCAACTTATGTCCTTCATCGCTTAAGATTTTTGAGGTTGCTTCAAGATTCGAGGTATACTACCAATTTGGTGACATTGTTTGTGGTTTCACGTGTGGTCCTGCGACCTAAACTAAGTGGTTTCTTATGGTAATTCCATTCTTTGCAGTGTGCAGTTTTGTCGGTATTGGGAGGTCTCTCTACTGTTGGTAGGGTCACAAGTGATACTTTGGACATGCTTATCTGTGCAAAGTCACAACTTAAAAAGCTGTTGGTCAGTTGTCATCTTTATTGCTTTTGTTTTCAGTTATATATGGAACCTTTATTTATGTATATATATATATATATTTTCCACTTGTCACACCAAAATTGCATTTAGTTTTTAGTTCATATTTATTGACAAGTATTAATGCAGAAATTGATAAATTCACGTGGTCCAATTGAAGATCCTTCTCCAGTTGCCCGTGCAACCAAATCATTGATTCTTGGTCAAACAGAAGGTGTGCTGTCATATAAAGCATCCAATAACCTGATTACTGCATCAAATTGTTGTTTCTCAAATTGGGATATTGACTTGCATTTGCTGGCTCTTCTCAAGGTAAATTTCCTTCTGTGTTCTTTCTTACCCCTCCTGCATGTTGTTGCCGTTTCCATTATATTTTGTGTAATCTCTTTGATGTTCATTCCCGTTACTGCTCGATTGTTACTATATTCTGAATTGACCTTATGATTTATTATTATTATTATTTATATATTATTATTATTTTTTTTTTTTTTTTTTTTTTTTTCTTTTAAAAAGAGTGAAAGTCTGTGTATCTTTTAAGGACATATTAAGGGGATGTGGTAAAATTTTATGCTTGCTGTCAACTTAGTGCAACCCTCCTTTGTTTAGGCTTGGGACCGACTGTGTTAAGATTAAAAATTAAGCTCTTCATA